TAGAGCTGACTACAATACCCCTTCATTTGATTTTTTCCGACACAGAAAACAAGTAGGCCTACTCGTTTTCACACGCAAATAGAATACATTACCATTTCTGTATTCCTGAAGTCATTCAACAGTTGAAAGAACCCTGAGAATAAATACTTATATTTTAAATTTCGTCGACTTAGTTTAAAGGGCAAGGAGTTTTTGGCTTTTGAGAAACCGGAAGTAGAAATAAATATCACTTTCGGTTACCGAATATTGCACAATAGGGGATGGAAAACTATACATTTGATATAATACTTTACATGAAATTTATTCTACGTAACTGGGATTGTAGACCCACTCAAATTATCGTGTCTATAGAGAGACACGAAAAAAATATCGAAACAAAGTTTTCCGATTCGGTGAAAGGTAAAACGTCGAGGTGATAGTTTCTTCCGCCCCCCGAAGAAAATCTTCCGTTCCCCCCCCCCCCCACTACTCCCGAACGAAATGGAACTTATGTAAAAACCTATACGTGTACCAGTGTATCCCCGTAAAATGTTTTCCACCCCCCCCCCCGAAAATATCAAGTCCCCCCACCCCCACCCCCCGCCCCCAGAGAAAAAAGTCTGGAAGAAACACTGGTCGAGGTTTTGATAAATATGGATTTGGATTTTTTGCAGGAATAGCATTATACCTTTATATAACGTGTACAGAAAAGTTGGGTTTTTGTGAAAATTTTAAAATTGCTTGTGACTTTTGTGCACGATTATATTACTTTCTTTATATTCTGTATATGATAAAAATATAAAGCGGGAGTGATCTCCTCTAAACTTTCTCGAATATTCTTATAAAACAAGTAGAATAAGTTCCACTTTCAGTTACCGGAAATCGCTGAAAAAATGGTACAGAACTATAAATTTGATATAATAATAATATAAAGAGGCGTCGAGAGACGGTGGAGGGGGACTGTGGACCGCACTGGGTGACACCAATTAGGGGGTTGACACCAAGATAAAAAATTGCAAATATTTTAAAATGATAAATTGATACGCTTTTTACAAGTTGGATGAATGGTTTATTCAAGTTACAACTTCTTTTGAGTGCAAATTGATGATCACGAAAAGGGGAGGGGTGAGACACAATATCGTAAACTAGCAAACAATAGACAGAACAATTCTACATCTGACTGTATTAATAATCGACTTTAGATATATATCGTTACTATTAACTGTAAACACTTAAAAAATATGACACGGGAGGGGGAGGAGAGGGTGGAGGGTGACACTATCTGCAAAATGTACAGAAGAATAAAAAGTTGAATATTTTCTATAACTGTTTCGTCATTCAAAGACAGGGATGGGGTGACACTTTGGCGAATAATTTACTATGAAAACGTAGGTGGATTTAAATGTGTTCACAAATTGACGCCCTTTGGCAAAATTGACACCAATAGTAACTATGTATATATATATATATATATATATATATATATATATATATATATATATATATATATATATATATATATATATATATATATATATATATATATATATATATATATATATATATATATATATATATATATATAAATATATATATATATATATATATATATATATATATATATATATCCTATACATGTTTTCTTTGGTGGTGGTAGTGGGGGTTGACACCATGAGGTGCCGCACCAAGCGACACCCCACCTAGCGACGCCACTGTATTGATCCACTGAGCTCAGAATTATCTGGAGCGCTGTCACACATCGGTGAGGTGGTGTCGGGCGTGATTAAAAACACATTTAAAAGTACCCATTGAATTTGAATTTGTTTAGGGACTTTGGCGGCCATGTCGATACCTGATTGAGTTGATATACGTTTTAAGTTCTACCTTCTCCTAAATTAATGCATGACTTCCTTGTTGATTTAGTCACGCTTTAAGTTCAACCACACCCCCAACCTTCTCTTTAATGAAAGCATGAGTGTTCATGGTTGACTTCTATTAGCCACGTTGTAATTTCCACCTTACCCCAACTTTCTCCATAATGAATGCATTACTTCCTGGATTAAATAAGACCACTACAAACTGGCATAATACAGTCATAAAACTGTATAAGAAATTAGCTAGTTTTAAAATTAATGTTTCCGTACAAAGACTAGTTTAATTAAATTCTATACTCAACTTTGTATATTGTCACAAAAGATACAATGTCTATTAAGTTTTTGTATGCAACAGTACGAAGTAAGTTTTTGTTGGCTGGGATAGGCTCGTATTTGGACACATATATAGAAACTGGTCGATTAGTTAGCTGGGATAGGCTCGTATTTGGACACAGATATAGAAACTGGTCGATTAGTTGGCTGGGATAGGTTCGTATTTGGACACAGATATAGAAACTGGTCGATTAGTTAGCGGGGATAGGCTCGTATTTGGACACAGATATAGAAACTGGTCGATTAGTTGGCTGGGATAGGTTCGTATTTGGACACAGATATAGAAACTGGTCGATTAGTTAGCTGGGATAGGCTCGTATTTGGACACAGATATAGAAACTGGTCGATTAGTTAGCTGGGATAGGTTCGTATTTGGACGCAAGTAAGAAGGAGATCGATTAGTAGACAGATTTTGAGTCATATTTGGACACAAGTTTAGAAAGTGATCGATTATTTGGCCGAGATCAGAGTTTCTTCCAGGCATCTCTTTGAGGGGGGGGGGGGGGGAAGGCCGAACGAAATGAAATTTATAAAGAAAACATATACTTTTAACAGTGACCGCCCCCCCGAAGAAAGTATACCGCCCCCCCCCCCCCCCCCCCACTCCCCGAAATTTTCAAGTGCCCCTCCGGAGAAAAATGTCTGGAAGAAACACTGGCCGAGATCGGCTCGTATTTGGACACATGTCTCAGCTGGCTGAGATGCAGTCGTATTTAGACACATAAAGTGTTTCTTCCAGGATTTCTTCGGGGAGGGGGGGGGCGAAGAGAGTCTACCGCCCCCCCATCCCCGATCGAAAAGGAATTTATATAGAAAATAAATACTTTAAACAGTGTCCGCTCCCCTGGAAATTTTAGTTCGCTCCTCCTCTCCCCCCCCCCCCCCCCGGGAATTTTAAGTGCCCCCCTCCCCCGGGCGATAAAAGTCTGGAAGAAACACTGGAAGAAAGATGTCGATTATTTGGCCAATTTGGACACGGGTTAGAAAAAGATCGGGTAGTATAAAACATGACTAATCCAAAAGACTGGAGTTCCAATCCGGGGCTCAAATTTGCGTGAAATACCCGAGTCAACTCAGCTGCAACGAGTACCTGGCATTCGATGTATTCTGTCTTATAAGAAACACATAACATATATGTATAGGTGACGCTACCTGGCCGCTCCTGTGAAATAATACCAGAGGCCAACTTTCAAACAGGTAGATTCCCGTATAACTTCCGGCTTTAGCGTGACTGAACTTTTACAACGTGAAAGGAGAAAAATTTTCATTGAAAAGGTAGAGAAAAGCATGATTTCATTACGCCACGAGTCATTAGGTTTATTTCAATAGGTAAACTTTGTTGCAATTTTAAAAGCTTTTGTTGTTAACAAAAAACTTTTGTGAATGAATTTAGGCCATACAGATCTCGTTCTGGATTTTAAGTATTTGACATTCGATTTGCTGTAAGAGATCCATAATATCCGACTAGCGTTATGTATCAAACCATAAGACTATATTATTGATTTCGTTTTACATGAGGTAATCAGGAAGAATTAAAGCGGGAGTTGTCTCCCCTAAACATTCTCTTATAGACTATAATACTTCTTCTTATCCATATTCTATCACAATCTTTAAAACGAACATATGCTTCATAGCGAACGAGCCTGATTCATTTTAGTGAACGACTAAACGGCCCACCTTATTCAGAGTCTGTCGCGCTGTTCAAAACTAACATAGACGCCATAGCGCTCACATGATAATCCGGGGCGTCAAATTTAACCTTACTGGGGCGCCACTCGTGCGAAATTGATTTTTAAAAAAAAAAAAAACATCCCCACAAATATTCCTAGCAACTTCACAAAGTTTCATGGCACTCGGATGAAAGGTGTAGCAATCTTATACATTGTCTTTTGCGGGGTTTAGGTGCCATATCGCTCAGTAGATAGCCCGGGGCACAGAATTTTACCCTGCCGGGGTGCAAATGGACTCGCCTGATTCAATTTATTGAACGACCATAACGCCCATAATAACCATACTCTATTGCACTGTTTAAAGTGCCATAGCGCTCATGGCAAAGACCGAGGCGCTAAACCGTACCCTGCCGGGAGCCGCCTGTGCGAAATTGAATCCCACCCCCCACCCCCCCCCCCCCCCCAGAAACCTTCTCGGGAGTATTCTCATCAATTCCCTAAATTTTCATGGCACTCGGGTGAACGGTGTTGAAACGCATCCGACTTATTTCTTTTATACCTTATATAGAGAATAATCTAATCACGCACTGTTAGGGCGCAACGTCTGCGAATTTGAAATTTTTTTGTTCGCAGGAACCTCACCAGGATTATTCTAAAAAACTTCCCAAAGTTTCATGGTGATTGGAAGAAAGGTGAAGTAATGCATAAAAGACACACACACAGACACACACACAAAAACTTAAAATGATATATATATATATATATATATATATATATATATATATATATATATATATATATATATATATATATAGGCCTATACTTATATATATATATATATATATATATATATATATATATATATATATATATATATATATATATATATATACATATATATATATATATATATATATATATATATATATATATATATATATATATATATATATATATATATATATATATGCTAAAGAACTTTAAAAACTTTAGTCTCGAGACCCACCCCCCTACAAAAAAGGAAAAAAAATGATTCCTGGTGCCGCCAATGATCGCATGCAGCAGAGAAGGAAGTAACTCGGCGCCACGAAGCCAAGCAACGAGAATGCACTTCTAGAAACAGGGTTCCCCTTATGTAGGCTAT